ATCTTTGAATTTTTGATAATTGATAATTTTGGAAAATGTTTTTAATAATTTGTAAAAAATAATTGATTTTATTGTTTAATTGTTTATTTAGCTGTTTCACATAGTTTCTTAAAATACAATGTTATATTGTTCTTTAATTTTATATATTAAGTTGATATCTGTAATCGTCATCAAATCAAAGTTACAATTTTCAAAATAAGAAAACTGTTTTCTCAATTCCCAGGGAGAATCTTTTTTTAAAACAGAGTTACTTTGATTGATAAAAATTTTGAAATTGTATGATTTATCTTCAACTTCACTTGACATGTGCTAAACGAACCATTGCAGCAACTTAACATTTTATTATTGTTGTAAATTTTTCCTGACAATGCGAATAATTTCACGCGAATGACACGTACGGCATTGTGGAGCTGTGAAAATCAGGAGCTTCGTTTTAATTTTAAATTGCTCGATGTTATCAATCAATAGCCGGATGTCTTGCGAGTTTACACTCGGATCATACCCTTTACCTCAAAGCCCTCGTGTTTCCCATGGCGTGTCTTTAGTACCTGTGAAACGTTGTGCGGCGATGGACAGTAGTAAAAAATCTGAAGATCACCGCGATTACGACGATCAGCTATTAGGAAGATAATTACGTTGGCTATTAATTGTCGCCGTGACACAGTAATTACGCGGATTCTCGTAAGGCAACAAATGGGAGGTCATAGGTAACATCAGCTTTCAGTGTATGTACCAGAAAAATTAGTTCATATTTCATATTTAAATCTATCGAATTGGAGAATATGAATAGTCTTCTAATTAAATTAACGCATAAATTTTTGCTTTTTTTAAAACTTTTTTAATTCGGTGATATCTTTTTTTATTGCACGCTACAGTTAAAAATAGAATGCTCGATGTGCGTGTAGAACCCTAATTGGTGAACGCTGATTACTAAGTCTACTTGAATTACTGTCGGTCATTGAAAGTGCTTTGTACTCTTGGCCAAGGCTATACACACGGTATTTCGCGGCTGCATGCACCGGATTAAATGTGCGCATGTAATAGCTCCTGAAGCAAGTAAAAGCGATCGCCTGAGTTGAAGTTCAAGAGCGCTGCAGCGTATCTAGAATCAGTTTCTCGATGGAGTTCAGGTCAATGTACGGAAAAAAAATCGGATCCCAGCCGACTGGACGAGTGAACTGGAGTTGAAACATATACACTAAAAATATAATTTTGTATTGTGCACAGTATATTTAAACTATATTAATCAAGAATATCTATTTATGGAAATAGCACAAATTATTTAAGACGTGTAAACTCTGAATAATTTTGAAATAATTTTGAAAAGCTCTTGCAATTAAGATATGTTTTAAGTTATTTTTTCACATTTCAAATAGTTGTGTAAATTAGAAAATTCTTATTCATTGTTTAAATAATTTTTTAGATTTCTTCCTTAAATTATTTTTTTAAGACTTTAGATTTTTAAATATTTTTTTAAGACTTTTAATGTCTAAATTCCAAACAATTTTTTAAATCAAATGTATTTTTTTCTGCAGTTAGCTGAAGACAGTTCAGATGCGAGATATAAATATTCTGAATATAAGAGCGTATCTCTAGCATAACTACATATGTAGCTATTGTCTTTCCGCGCTAATTCTTCTGTATCCGAGAATCCCACTCATCTCCGCTTTCTCTCAATTTCCGGAATCGCAACGGAAACGGAACGCTAATCTGTCACTGACCACATACCTAAGGCACATTAGTCAACAACAGTAAATGCACTGGAAAGCCATAAGATAAACGTTATCGTATTCTCACACTTCCACTTTACTTTTCTAAATATTTTACAAGAGACATCTTACAGGAAAAAACAATCACACTTAGCCATAAAAAAATATCAGTGAACCAAAAGAATGTTTGTCGTGATATCCTTAATCTCGCGATCAATTCATAGAGATTTCAAATTTTTTAAAGATCTACTCACTACAGATTTCTTTTAATACACTTTCAGATTTCTTTTAATCGTAAACGATGTCGAGGATAGGGATTAGATTGTTTAATGTCCGTTCGCCAAGTTCGTCAAAAGCAGGCTCGCCAAGAAATGTCGAAACGGCGCGCGACGCGAGAATAATAGACCAGATAGAATTGTAAAAAGATTACCGCGGAATACGAGAGCTGTTACAGTGTGCCATTAAAAATTCTAAGATCGGATGTGCGCGTCATCGGAGCGGGCCGCAGAAGGAGTCCGTGTGGATGTCATCGGCGAGAACGACGATCGACCGCCACGTTTTCCTCGCGACCGACGCGATTCGCACCGGCGAAAAGACGACGGTATCGCGCAATCCGATACGTGATGGACGGGACATCGCATCGCGCATATATATTTGACGGCTTTAACCGTCGGTTCCGTCGTTACACATTGTCGGCGTTACACATTGCCGAGTTTCACCGGACGCGATCGGAATGCATTACGGGGCGCGCAATATATGGTCCGACCTTTCCGACCTGTAAGAAAAAGAAAAAAAACTTCAACGTTAAAAAAAGAACTAGTAAGTGTTCTCGCATTCTCGAAAAAGATAATTCGTCGATCGTGAAAATTCTACCGTGTTCTACCTTCGTCTCATTTTAATTCCCCTCACGGAGTGAATCCACGCGTCGCGCATTCGTTCCTCCGTGCGAGAAACGCGCGAGAGATCAATGGCCATCGCGGTCTCTAAATAGACTCGCGCCTTTCTTGTTTCAGATGAGTCACCTCTATGGACTATTCAGCAAACAAGTGGCACGGTTTTGCGCCGATTCCTCGAGGCCGGACTGCAACAAGAATCTGCTCATATCCGGCATACGAAGCCTCGCCAGCATGGACGACAACGTCCTCGACAAGCTGGACCCCTATCAGCGTGACGCGAAGGAAATGAGTAAGGAAGCGTTCCTACGTAATGTCGAGACTGATCGATACATCGCGGAAGAGAATTTCGCGTTGGTCTCCGGCCGAGACATACAAATGAACCGTGAATTGCGGCCTTGACACTTCGCGCGGCCTCGTGCTCAAGTTACTTGTAACGTGTTCCTGTTTTCAGTTTGGCGCGCCATGGTGGGAAGCAACAGATTCTCGTCGAGAATCAGCCACGAAAACGATGACTCTTACTTCACCACCGGAGCCGACTTATTATTAGGTAAGTGCATCGAAAATAATTTCTCAAGAGCCTTTCGTTATCGATAACGATCGATCGAAAATAATTGAAATACAACGATATAGAAATTATTATTAATTATCGTAGTTCTTTGAGGATGTCCATGGAAGTGAATTATTGATAGAAAAGAGTATGCTAATATATTCTAAAAAGAACATAAAGGAAGAACAATAAATCTGAGGATTATTGAGATGTTAAAAATAAAAATCTCTATTTTATTTAATTTTGTAGAAAATAATTGATTTCACATATTCTATATTTCTATATTTCTATCTATATTTATTCAACAATGTCTTACGCACATTAAAATTAATCAAAGCCGAGTTTAATTTATCCTATAAAATCTATTTTTGAAAGAATATTATTGTCGCAATATCCATCATGAAATAAATTATTCAAATATGTTTTAATAACAATCGTTACCTTTTTTGTGCAACATTTCCTAGTAGTCGTTTATTTAATAAGTAATCCTTTAGTTACAAAGATTTAATCGCGTGTATATGTCATTATAATAAGAAAATCGTGCAGCGAAGGAAAACATGCCTCACGCAAATCTATTTGAAAAGAAATGACATTTATAGAGTCACTTCTTCCTTGTTTCGGGAATCTCTCTGTGCGATTACGGCCTCGCGAACGGAAATACATCGTACCTCGAGAAAGTTTCAGCCGCGGCTTCGATCCCGCTCGTGCTCCTAGAAAGTCTTTTTTCTCCCTTAACGATATTGCGCCCGATAGACGATAAATCCTTGTTCTCAACCACGTGCGCTTTCTCCCTTCTTTTCGAAAAAAGCAGCTTTGTCGCGCCGAATTGATTCTGACTCCGCATTTGATACTATTAAACAATCGCAGATGAATTTAATGCGTTAAAATCATAAGTGAATATTGCTCGTGAATTACTCGTCAAACTTAAATTTTTTTATTGAATTTATATAAATTAAAAAATAATTATCAATGTCCGACCAACCGTGATCATAAATTTCTTTCTCATATATATATATATATATATATATATATTTCTTTGTCGATAAATGTTTATTGTTTAAATTTTTTCTTCCTTTGCGATAGAAGAGGCAGATTAATTTTTAATTCTTGAAACTGTCCGATTTAATTAATTAGTTAAATTAATTAAAAAATAATTAAAATTAATATTTCTTTTTTACTGTAGGCTGTTATAACGTTAGATATATTACTATAAACATATTTTAACTCTACATAGAAAGGAGGCTTTCGAGAAATATTTCTAGAGGATTCTATTAATTTCTTATTCAGCAATTTATTAGCAATACTTTGACAGTCCTCGCGCGTGACGGACATTTGACAGACAATGGACAGGTCGCGAAAGGAGGTCACTTTTCTCGGTGTCCAAGATGAGGGTCCCGGCGCGGGGGCGCACTATGGCGACTTTCACATTTTCTCTGTTGGCCCATATATACGTGCGTACGCTAATGATGCATCGACACGCGATGAAAGCCGCGAGCGTTGCACGCCCGTGATTTCAGGCGTTTACCGATCAATTATCGTACATCTAGAAATCTAGCGAAAGAAAAGAGAGACCATCCACCGATCTCGCGCCGATGGGAGGGAAGAACAAGAAAATACGATGTTTCCTTTTTGCCATTACATGTCGTTTCTCATGAGATCAATGACAATTATATTACATATGGGGACATTTTTCATGGTAGAGAAATTTATAATTGTATAATTCATACTAGTCTCTCTCGCTAACTAGAATATGTACATGCAGATGTATATATAATAAAAACGTAATATGAGAGAGAGAGAGAGAGAGAGAAAGAACGGTACACGTTTCATTGCGAGAGTAAATTCTCGCAATGTCTACATCCCGCGGAGTCCTTGTATTTGACAAATTGACGACATTCAGAAGCGACGTGCCGACGTGCAGATATTGGATTTTAAATTATCATAATGCGGAGGTCATGTAGGCCTATTAGAAATAGACACGCGTAAAAAAGTAGCGGTCGTTGATCCAAATAAAATGATGATCTTTGCCCGTAAAAATCGCGAATGTCTCCGTTCCTCTTGTTCTCCTTTCATGGATCTCTGTGGGGATCTATCAGCAATCATTTTTCATCATACCAAAGTGAAAACGCCCACGATTCCAAGTCGATGACGAAAATAAAATCTAAAAGAATCTGCGTACGAAAATCGACAATTATCGTTATTGAAAGAAAAAGCAATTGTAACATTACGATCAGACGTTAAAAATATTGTTAAAAATATTGTAATATAATTATGATAATAATACAATTAATTAATACAACAGAAGGAGAAGATGCGAGAAGGTCATCGCGCGATGATTATCTCACGGGATATTAAAAGTCTAACATGAGCTTAAAAATTTCTCGAAATTGTCATAATTGATCCACGCTCTAATTCTTACACTTCAACAGCAATTACAATTCTTTTGTAAAGTCATCGTGACGAAGAAAAATTCGTGATACGCGATGCGCTCGGATGACTTTAATGACGAGTCAATCTTAATGAAGTACGGACGAGAAGAATTTCGCGTTGGGTGCACATTTGCGTTTCCTGGGTATCCGATTGCGCCTCTGTAAAGTCGCGCTCGTTACTTAATCCTCGTCTAATCGACGTCATTTTCGAAGTTAAGCGGTCACGCTGGCGCATTTGTTAATTCCGCCTCTTTCTTTCTCTTTGCAGCGAACAGCGGCAGCGAGACAAACGGCCTCGGAGAGGAGACCGCGGCGAGCGGAGATTACGTTCCGTCGGAGGCGAGCGGCCCGTATCTGGCAGGTCCGATGGTGATCCGAGTCTACCCGGACGGTCGACCGGTCCCCGAGGATCAAAAGCGTCCGTTGCCGAAGGACGAGGACGCGGACGAGCTCAGGTATTCCCGTTTGCCGTCCATCGAGGAGATCGAAGCCAAGAGCGGCAGCGTGTTCTACGGGAAAAGCGGAAACGAGCCGTCAACGATCAAGAGGAGGATGTCCTACGCGGCTGACGACAAGGAACTTCGCCGACTGGACGCGGTGCATCTTCGTGGTCATCCACTGTCCTACGAAAGGACGATATTTCGAAGACCGTTAAACGAACGCAGAGTCCGTTACTATTGAAATGTCTCGTGACTCTTCTCTCTGATACGAGATACTTCCCCGCGGAATAGCTCGTTCAGGCTTCGTGCCGCTTCCTGATAATGGGATTTTTCGAGAAAAATATCGCTGATGGGAATAAGGGATTGAAGATAAATGACGTCGATGCCAATTGCGAGTCTCGGGGTGACACGTGAAAAAGATGCGCGGGAGAAAGTCGGAGATACAAGCGGTACCAGTCGTGGTCTCTCACGATGAACGACGAATGTAATAATAATCAGCTGTAATTACTAATTCATTGCGCATTCTAATCTATCTGCCATCGCTATTGCGGTGAGTGCGAAAGGGGAATCGCAATATCGCTGCTTTTCGGAATCCCAGCACTGTCGAACATTAACATTGAAGTGAAGGAGAACGAGGAATGTCGGAAAACCTTGTTTGAGACGAGAATTTGCAATTTATATAAAGCGCGTAGAAGAAATCATGAATCGTGAATTCTTTTGAGTCGCTTAAATTAGAAACTTGACGATTGGTCGGTAATTAGATTCCTAAGGTACGAGCGCTGAGAATGATATATATATATATATATATATATATATATATATATATATATATACAATATTCGTACGTTGTCTCAATAACACACCGACCATGAATATCATTTGAGTTTCACTTATTTAATTTAATTCATTTATTATAGTATTTATTTAATATTCAATGTGATTGTCATGGCTCTCTCTCTGATGAAAACTTGAGCAGAAAATATCAATGAAAATATACTAATTTTTATACTAAACTGAATGAATATAAAAGACTAAAATCTTTGATTTCTGACGTCATTAACACGAAAAAGTTCTCTTATTTAAAATCATTCTTTAGCAAAACAGCAATTAATCATAAAAGTTCTATAGCTTTATTTCATAAATTTAACGCATATTCACGCGTCATTTCTATTTGATATATGTACGCTATCGCATAAAGGAACCAATGTACCTCGCTGAAAAATATTGCATTTCGCATATATTATCATCTTATTAACTATTGATATAAATCATTGATATTTTAACAGATAATAACAAGTTTGCTGAAAATCATTGCTTTTGAAAAGTTACGCAGTTAGTTACATAAATAGTTTGTACATTATGATAATACTCGCTAAATCACATCTGTCGAATATTCACGCAAATCATTGCATTTGCATACGCAAATAATAACAATATGTTACAAAGAGATATTTAAAAAAGATATTACACATTTACGTGACGATTATGATTGATTATTACATCAATATACATATATTCACTTTCATTTTATAAATACTTAAGATATTTGTCATTGTTATATTTAAGCATATATCAATAAGACATAACTAAAATGTGATAAAATATAGAACGCGTAATATATATTTGAAAGACGAAAATAACGAGATTTTGAAGATAATGTGATAAATTAAAATTAACACAATGCAATATAATATATGTTTATAAATGGATATACACATATTCACATAAAACTCTTTATTATTACAAAAAATTTAATGTGATAAAAAAAACTCTTCTAATTGCTTGAAGATGATAAAATTTTGCAATGACTGTTTTTTAATGCTGTGTTATGAATTTAAAATTTCTAAAGTTTTATATTTCTAAAGTTTTAACATTATACTTTTTTTACAGTCTTTGTTTAAATAAGTTACATTAATAAGTCTATTTTTGTCATATCTCCAGAAGTCAATTTTATATTCATGAAAAATTTATTATCATAGCTTTCTCACGCAATTTCATGTTTATCATTAATTTATACATATTTTTCATTAATTTAAATTATGAAACATACTATATATAAAAAAATATATATATGTATATTTTATCTATATCTATATCTATATATATATATATTATTTTTTTTTTTTTTCATGACAAATGTCATTATACGATTACATATAAAATAAGCGAATATGTATACGAATAGACATTATGGATACGATTTGATGTTTTGTAATATTAGTTTACGAGATTTGCGGTGATAATATTCTATATAATATAATATAAAAACATATAGTAATATTGCATATACATTAAAATAAATAAAAAGATGATCTTAGTATTAATATATATTATGATATTAATAAATATATATTATGACTTTTACATATCTTAATTTTTATCAAATCGTATATAAACTTGTATAACTCTCATATATCAAACTTGCATAACTTGCATATATAAAAAAATATAATAGTACAATAAATACAATATAAAAGATATGTTTAATAAAACAAATTGTAAAAAATATGTACATATTTATATTTATACAAATACATACTCGTGAATATATTTGAATGAATATATTTAATTTGACTAGTTTTGGATTAAATATAATTTTTCGATGTGAATATATATGTAAAACATAAAAATTAAATAGTACGTTAGGAATAATTGAATAATATATATTTATATTTGTGAGAGAAAAAGATTCAGCCTAATAGTTTTTACAACATTATAATATAATAATCTAAAAATTTTATTAATTAATATAATTAAAAGTAAATTAATTTTTTAAAATTAATGTATATAAGCTAAGAATATTTCGTGAATTTTATTTAAATAATGTTATAATGACATCCTAGTGATAATATAAATATCAATTTTTGATCATAAATAATATTCTAGGAATACTTTTATAATATTCCGCGGATTAGTGGAATCAGAATGATATCTTATCGACAGTGCTGAAAATGGAAGTAACTACTTAATTCCAACATACTAAAATAGAACTTGAGGGCGCTAATAAATTTTGACGATCCCACGAAAAGACCGGGATGGTGTCGCCCTCAGGCTCTCTCTGGTTGCAATTAGGAATAAGAATAAATATTAAATTTTGGAAATAAGAATTAGTATTAAGATAATTAAAGCATTAAAGAGTATTAAAGACAAGAAACAAACGTAACGCAAAATGGTACATAAATAAGTATAAGATATAGCTGTATCTTAATCTCTACTCCTAAATTTTACTTCCAAAATTTAATATTTCTGTTTCCTCCATTGTGCGCAAGACATTACGATACGTGTTTTACACTTACCACAAAAAGATGAGGAGAAATGAAATGTCTATTGCAATGGATATGAGGGACTATGATGGAGGCAATGCCAGATAATTTTGGAGTGGAATAGAATGACGACAGCAGTCCCGTTTTCACATTCAAAGACTATGAGGCGCACCTGTTAGGCGTAACGTGTTTCAGGCACGTCTAGCCACGCTTTCGTTCATGTTTCAACCAAATAAGGCGAAGGGCGGACAGGCACGTGAGTGTGGGTGCGTGCGCGCGTGTGTGCGCGTGTCGTACGTATGATGTGTGTATGTGTGTGTGTCGGGAGGTGCTGTATCGCGAGCAGTCGCGAGCTATCACACATAGCGAGCCGTCGTAGACGTCGCATCCCCACGTCATCGGATCCTCCCGTTCGGTCTCGTCAGGCATTGTTGGGTGCGAAGAGGCACGGTGTGCACCGGCGAGATGTCGTATGAAACGAGTAAGTCACGATGCGAGAACGCGTTACCCGGGGACCGGCTCATGCCGTATGATTTCGGAGCTGTGCGCGATATGTCTTCCTCGGTATATTCCTTTCCGGTTTGCTTATCTCCGGTCGAATCGTGAGGGCGTTGCGAGGATCGGCAGGAAGAGACTCCTCTACGACTTCGGAGGTTCGCTCGCGTAGATCGCGATTGATCTCGCTCACTTTCATCTGTCTCGGCCCAGTCTGAAGAGTTGTCACCCCATGTGTCTTGCGTGACGTATGATATGTCGGACGTACGGCTGATGTCAATATACATATACCGGGTGCTCGAAAATTATTGTTTTTTTTTTACACTCCAGGGATTTGTTCCTAATCGAATTGTAGGAGTAAACGTTTCACAGGCAAGAATATCGAAATCAGAAACTTTCTTTTTTTTTCCATGAAACAGAAAGATAAATGTAATATTTATGAAACAAGGAAATAAACCGAGTTTAACTTTTATTTTAATAGAGGTTTAATGTTTTAAACCTTTATTAAGCTTCAAGATTTTTTTATATTAAATATTAAATTAAATTAAATTAAGAAACTGTTAAGGGAGAATTTGATAAAATTTTTTTAAGAAGTATAAAAAATATGTCTAAGACTTTTGAGCTTTGTATATGTACATAGAATCACACGAATGAAAAAATGATGAATCATAAATATTAAATATCAAAGCTTAATTGAGCTTTAGATAAGATAGAATTATACTTTATATCGCAATCTTATCAGGTCCAAATAGGGAATAAAAAATTATTTTACTCGAATATTAAATATTTATATCGACCAAAAATTATTTGATATAATTGCGCATTATATTTATTGAATAGTTAACAGGGAAAGAGAGAAGGAAAGACTGAAATAATTACATTCAAGATAATGTATGTTACTTGAGATAATTTTTTTGCTAGTTGTTTTATTATTTTTACATTAAATGTGTGTATGAGAGCCTTTCAAAAATTTCCTCTGGAACCGTACCACGATACAGGATAAACTATAGTTTGTTAGTGCTCAAAATAATTTGAAATATTAGAAGCTGGATCCATGCCAATGTATCAAGGGAGATATTTTAGTTCCAGCACCTGGATGTATTATGCGTTGTTTGCATGATATTTGATCTCTTCTTCTGTATGACAGTCTTCTAATAAATTTTTCTAATAAATTTTATTAATTTTACTAATTTATTATTTAAAATATTACATGAATAATGTACAATATCTTTAAGTAGAATAAATAACATATAATATATAACACATAATTTTTATATACAATTCTTTTAAAGAAATAATATTAAATATAAGATAACATTAAATAAATAAATAATAATAATAATAAGTATTAAAAAGCTCCTTATCTAATATTTAGAAAATATCTATGAAACAAATTATGTATTAATTATATATACAAATTACATTTTTAGTATTATGATATTAATGTATTATAAAGTAACATTATCAATATTCAAGTATTCAATATCATACCAACTAATAGTAATATTTTATAATATTATAATTTTTTATTCAACATACTGTTATATACAGCATATACTATGTTACACTCCGTCGATATATATATAATTATAATATATGGGAAATGAAAATGTTAATGTACTGTTATTATTATTTGACATTTATTACATATCTATATATGAAGAATAATATTAATCGACAGTCCAATTGTTTTTAGTATTATTTTAATGTCCCTTATTTGAGGAGTTCCTCTTTTGTTATTTTCTTATTTTATTCTTTTTGTTATAGAATATATATTTGCTGCGTTACCAAGAACTCAAAGGGGACAGCCTCTTATACTGGGTGGCGATCCCAAAGGAAAGAACTTTTTATATACCAATGGTAACAGTGTTATCATTAGAAATATTGACGTGAGTTTTTGTGTTATAATAAATGCTTACCGTTGTCTAATAACGGATAGATGTATCACTTTTCATATTTCTACAACACATTGCAGAATCCAGCGATTGCAGACGTTTATACAGAACATTCTTGCGCTGTGAATGTTGCCAAATATTCCCCTAGTGGTTTTTACATAGCTTCGGGAGGTATGTGATATTTTATTTACATGTGTTACAAAAATTTTTACAAAAATATTCATAGATTATAAAATTTCCACATAAAGATTATCCGATAATACGATGCATGATATTTACTATTCTTAATCTTTGATAATTTTACATTATCACTTGTTTATTGAAAATTTTATAACGAGAATGAGATTGCTTCGATATTAAAGAAATCAATGTAATACAATTTTATTTTAGATCAATCCGGTAAAGTACGTATTTGGGATACAGTTAACAAGGAGCATATATTAAAAAATGAATTCCATCCTATTGGCGGACCCATTAAAGATATTGCTTGGTCAGCTGATAGTCAACGCATGGTCGTGGTCGGAGAAGGAAGAGAAAGGTATACTTCAAACATCAATATAGTGAATGAATTATCATTAAAAAAATTATATTAATACAATAATAATAATCATGTTTAGATTTGGGCATGTATTTATGGCAGAAACAGGAACGTCAGTAGGCGAAATCTCTGGTCAAAGTAAATCTATCAACTCATGTGACTTTAGACCGGCTAGACCATTTAGATTAATAACTGGAAGTGAAGATAACACTATCGCTGTATTCGAAGGCCCTCCATTCAAATTCAAGTATGTATACACGAAATTCTTATTACGAATTTATATTCTATTAAGTATAAGGATCTTAATTCTTCATGTATTTTATTATATTCTATTTATGCAGAATGACGAAGCAAGAACATACTCGTTTCGTTCAAACTGTACGTTACTCCCCTGATGGAAATCTGTTTGCTTCCGGTGGTTTCGATGGGAAAGTATTTTTATATAATGGAACAACTTCTGATCTTGTTGGGGAAGTAGGATCCCCCGCACATCAAGGTGGAGTCTATGGGGTACGTAATCTAATTCGTTTGTAATAAGACATAAAAATATGACAAATTATTTGTAATAAATGTAATTGAGCAATATATTTTTTATAGGTAGCATGGAAACCCGATGGCACACAATTATTAACTGCTTCCGGTGATAAAACTTGTAAACTGTGGGATGTAGAAACACGTTCTTTAATTACCGAATTCAACATGGGAACAACAGTCGATGATCAACAAGTTAGTAATTAAACAATCAATTTAAAGATAAGACACACACACACACACACACACACACACACACACACACACACACACACACACACACACGAAAGAATAATTTACAATAAATTATGTTTTTCAGGTGAGCTGTCTGTGGCAAGGGAAACATTTATTATCCGTGTCACTTAGCGGTTTCATCAACTATCTTGATGTCGACAATCCTGAGAAGCCTATAAAGATAATAAAAGTAATCCTCGCTTTTCTAATTAATTGAGATATATGATATCTTTTTAGTATATTAATTTTTAATACTCCTTCTAGGGTCATAATAAACCAATAACGGTGCTAACGTTAAGTCCTGATAGAGGTACGATTTACACTGGGTCTCATGATGGTTACATCACCAATTGGAATGCAGAAACAGGGGAGAATGATCGTGTGCAAGGGCACGGTCACGGTAATCAAATTAATGGGATGAAAGCCACGGGTAACTTACTCTATACTGCCGGTATCGATGATACTTTAAGATCAGTCGATATTGCGACGAACGCATATGCAGAAACTGCCGTGGTAAAATTGGATTCACAACCACGAGGTTTGGATATATATAACGATATAGTTGTGGTTGCTTCAGTTCGACAGGTAGGTCATATATAAAATATCTACAAAGTAGTTCTCGATTTTAAAAATTGATTTAACAAACTTGTGAAACAAGCTTGTGAAAAATTAACAAGCTTAGAATTTAAATTTAAATATAAATGTAACAAGAATCATTTTTGTAATAGAACTTGTTAAGTATTCAGACAAGCAATAAATGTCTCTGTAGCATCTTATTCATAAATTTTCTATAATGTGTTATATAACACATAATGTATTTTATAGATCGCAGTTACACAAAATGGCAAAAAGCTGTCAAGTTTACCAGTCGAATACGAGCCATCGTGCGTGTCAATTAATCAAGAAATTGGAGATGTAGCTGTTGGATCCACATTTGACAATAAAGTTTGTTTATTATTTAAATAATATATGAGAAATGTGAAGATTGGTTCATTCTATTATCAATTTGGGAATGATTTATTGTATAGGTTTATATTTACGAATTGTCGGACATTACACTAACTCAAAAGACTGAACTAGAACATCTGGGTCCAGTTACGGATGTTTCATATAGTCCTGATAATAAATATTTAGTTGCCTGTGATGCAAACAGAAAAGTTATATTGTACACCGTACCAGAATATAAGGTAAAGTATAACTTAAATTCTTTCTCTAGAATTTCATTTAGATTTAATTATATCCAGCTAAAGAAATAAGTTTTACAAGTTTCATGTAATCGAATTTGTTATGTACATACATAAAATCATGCAGTAGACTTCTGTATATATGCTAATACTGCAATAGAAATACCATAGAAATGGAAATAAAATTTTATTCCGTGGCTTATTTTCGAAAAATATTTTTTTATTTCTAATGTAATTCAACATGATCATAATAGAGAATTATTAATAAATCTTAATTTATAGAGCCACACATTTATTATTAGCTCATACAGTATCATTTAATTTATATATGATATATTATAATGTTGATAAATTTGCCATGTGTAAAATAATTAAAGATAATTTTTATGTAGTAATTATGCTTTCTTTAATGAA